AAAACTGGTCAACAAAAACCCAACATCACACGTTCTTACATCAAGGTACCTTAAAAACTGATCAACAAAAACCCAACATCACACGTTCTTACATCAAGGTACCTTAAAAACTGGTCAACAAAAACCCAACATCACACGTTCTTACATCAAGGTACCTTAAAAACTGGTCAACAAAAACCCAACATCACACGTTCTTACATCAAGGTATTTTAAAAATTGGTCAACAAAAACCCAACATCCATACATTCTTACATCAAGGTACTTTAAAAACTGGTCAACAAAAACCCAACATCATAGATGTTGGGTTTTTGTTGACCAATTTTTAAAATACCTTGATGTAAGAACGTGTGATGTTGGGTTTTTGTTGACCAGTTTTTAAGGTACCTTGATGTAAGAACGTGTGATGTTGGTCAACATGATACGTTTATTACACCAACGATTCAAGACGATACTGGGTGTAAAGATACAAATATGATTCATTGTAACGGTAGGAACTTGACATATCTAAAATTTACACATAGCTTAGGCGAGACAACGTGTATTTAGTGGAATTTTAACTAGATGCGGATAAAACCTGATTAAATCGGAGTGAAAAATGTTCCCCATTTTAGATCACCTAAGTCTGAGTTGTCATAAAAATATTAACCACTAATCCTAATGTTAGTGTGTAATTTGTGAGATTTGCTGTTAGTAATATTGGATACATTTTAATGTAACAGAGAGGGAAGTATTGTTTGAGATATTTGAGTTAAATGAAACGTTTGTGTAACTTAGCATATTGCTCCTTTGGTGGCTCAGCAGTAAGCTTGAGGGCTTACAACGCTAAAATTCAGGATTCGATCCCCGTGGTGAGCAAATAGCCCGTTGTATAGGCTTACACTTCAAAACACACCATATTAAGAATAGGATGACTGAATATATGTTGTTTTAATATTTGAATTACGTTTTTATTCTAACCATGACGTTAGGTTTATTTATTACACTTAATTAATTCACTGGTATTTTAATGTTTAAGAATCAGCCACCAGAGGGCGGACAGACAAATGACGAAATGCAAATAATAAGACATTGTTTGTCGTTAAGTGCAACGCTACACAATGGGCTGTTAGTTTTATGTCCACCGTGGCTATCGAAACCTTAATTTTTAGCGTCGTAAACCCCAAGACTAATCGCTTGGCCACCGGACGGGGAGCATTTGTTTAGTTTTCGGCATGCCTTACTCCGATATGAAATATTTGAGCTTGTCTTTTTGTTAGATAAATTTACAAAAGAAGCAAAAAATTATAAATGTTCAAACAGGAGATGTATATTTTAAGATCCAAACTACCCTATATTATGATGTCAAACTTATGAACGTATTTTTATGTTGAACAACAAACTTACTTATTTCAATAAACACGGTTTATTAAAAAAAACAAAAAAACAATTATTTTAATGAAGGTAATATTAATTAATGCTCACACCGTTAACGAGAAAAGTTCATCACATGGTTAATGAAATGACAAGAACATATATCTAATATATATAATTCTCTCCTTTTAATTACTTTCACTATTAAAGTATTAAGGACAGTTTGACTGAATACATGTTTTAAAAGTAACTCACGTGGAACTTGGTAAAAGTTTCGACACTGGCCCGGGGAGCTGCACGCTCTGTCAGACAACATACACCTTTGTTCTGTTCCTCCCACCTTTCACAATCATAAAAAAAAAGAAAGAAAGCTTTAAGTACACCTAGAAGGGAGAAGAACAGCTACAAAAAAAAACCCCTGTAATCTACGGATATACCCGCAGGATGATAAAATCCTGTGGTACTGGTAAGAAAAGGCAGTTAAATGTTGGATTGTTAGCATGTTTCAGTCATATGTCTCGTCTTCTAAATCATGTTTGATTCCATGTTGAAAACGAATGGGATTTCAATAGTTGAATAAAACTTACAAAATCCATCCATGTCAGCAGTAAATATTCCAGTTGTTAAAAATATACCTTATTATAATCTTGGAAGACGTGTTAATTGTTGGAACAGGATAACTTTAAACAACAATGTGAAGAAGTGGGTGTCGACCAACCAGAGTACTCTAACAGTCCGGTATACCGTGGAGGGTTTCAATACAAGGATAACCGGGAGGTTGTTTGGAAGACTTGTTAATTTTTGGAACAGGATAACTTTTTCCAAAAATTAACAAGTCTTCCAAATAACCTCCCGGTTTGTGGTTGTCCTTGTATTGAAACCCTCCACGGTATACCGGACTGTTAGAGTACTCTGGTTGGTCGACACCCACTTCTTCACATTGTTGTTTTGTTAGAGTACTCTGGTTGGTCGACACCCACTTCTTCACATTGTTGTTTAAATTTATCCTGGTCTGGTATACCGTGGAGGGTTTCAATACACGGAGGTTACTTATTTTATTGGTAACAATGAAGAAAATAGTGTTGAGGATTTGTTTGTTTGTTTCGTAAGTTTCACACGCAGCTGACAAAGGAATATTTTTATCTGACCAAACAGTGAAATTTGACAGTCACCCTCACAGTGTAACCCCGATCCCAAAGCTCAGAGTGCCTTTTCGGGGGAATGGGCCGCGAACCATGAACCCTCGGATTCACAGTTTGGCATTCTGTTTACAACCAATGGTCTATTGCACAGATTTATCCGTTATGCTCTTGAAAACTCGCTTGATTTGTTTGTTTGTTGTAAAGAACAAAGCTACACAATGGGCTACATATGTGTTCTGCCCACCAATGGTATTGAAACCCGATTTTTAGCGTTATAAGTCCACTGACTTACCGCTGAGATACAGGAGGGCTAGAAGCAGATAAATGTTAAACTTAGGTTTTCTAGATGGGTGACGCTGTTACGTGTGGCACAAACTCTGTAATAAACGTAAACTAAAAGGTCCTCACCCTACGAACAAGGAAAGGAACATCGTAGGTGTGGCTTCGCTGTGTCTCACTGGGAGTTTTGGTGCCCGACTGGAAACTGCCACCGTCGCTCGTGTCCTCGTTTGGAAAACCTGGAACTCGAGTCATAGCATAAGGAGAGGGGAAATATACAGCATCTCTGGAGCTGTCGAACGATGACGTATTCTTTCCTAGCATCTCTAGGCTTAGAGCTTCTTCTTTCAAGGAAAGCTGGGCTTGTGGTTCTATAAACCAGAAATGTTTCATAACATAAGGGAAATAAAATTATCTGATCAACTCAATATAATTTCTCAATAGAAGATGTTATTTATAATGTCAAGTTTCGTGGCTACTTGCTATTTTTTGATACTACCTGCACGACCTCCTCCTGACCTCCTGTGACCTGATCCGTGTCTTCTGCTGTGTAGCATGCAGACGATGACCGTCACAACTAACACAATGAGCCCTGCACATATAATTGGAATTATAATGGTGAGTTGTTCGTACAGATGGCGCTGCGAGCTAGTCTGGGCCGGATTCGGAGCTAATGTAGCTGAAAAATTCAAAACCAAGTTTAATAAAATGTTTAATTATCAATGAACTTGTGTATAATAACAATAACTTCTGATCAGAATAACCTATGTACTGTAAATCAACCTGGCCATAAGTATATACAATATACTCTTCTTACGCATCTATTGGTAAAGATTAGAATGTATTCTTTCATCAGTTGGGTATCCTCACTGTTGACGATGTTTTCGTCCGTAAACCCTATAATATCTCCTAAGGTTCGGCCATCTTAGGAAATTTTTATGTTAGTTTTAAACATGAATTCGAAGCTAACAATGAAAATAAATCTTTATAATAATTAACGACAAGTTAAATTAAAATTAATGTTTGAGATATTACATATAAAGTAATAGTTATGTAAGTAATTTTGTTTCATTACGTATTTCAACATGTTAACAATTCTTTGTAGTCGTACCTCCAGCTTCCGTTAACGTTGGGAAGACGTACTCGGCATCTGTAGAACCAGCACTATTGTAAGCCGTCACGAGGATACTATACCACGTGGCTGGAGCCAGGTCTGGAATTAGCATAAACTTGATTTCAGGAAGCACTTTGCTAGCTACTAAGATCCATGACCGATCACCCTGGGGCTTGTACTGCACAGCAAAAAAGTTAATCGGACAACCACCCGATTTCCAGGATGACAGATGAAGAGATACCGTGGTTGAGTTGATCGTCAGAAACTCGTGCTTAGCTGGAGCAACTGGAGCTGTAGAATTGACATTACGTAAGGTTACTTTTCAACATGCTTCACAGATACAACTTTTTTTATCAATGGGTTTATACTTAATGCTAACCTTTCTGAATATTGACTTGTTACATTATCGTAGTGTGCCGTGAATCTATAATTTCATTTGCGTTTTTTTTTAATGTCACGTTGGTAGGTTTCCTAAATGTTCACTTGATAAGTTCTTCTAATATATCATTGGTGGACTTTCTTAACATTGGTAAGTTTTCAATAATGTCACATTGGTAGGTTTCTTAAATGTTCACTTGATAAGTTCTTGTAATATATCATTGGTGGACTTTCCTAACATTGGTAAGTTTTCAATAATGTCACATTGGTAGGTTTCCTAAATGTTCACTTGATAAGTTCTTCTTATATATCATTGGTGGACTTTTTTAAAGATTTAGCTGTGTATCAGAGTTTAACCTATTCACAAATGATGAACCAAAGAATATATTAGGCCCCTACATCCCAGATTATATTTTCAGTTTTACCTTTTATGAAAATAAAATATAAATGTGTAATATCATCATCAGACTTTCCTGATGGTCAAGTTTGTTGGTTTACTGGTGCGTTTTCTCAAAGATTTGTTTGCATCTATTTTGTACTTCAGTATATTTAAGAATTTGACTAAAGCTTAAGGAAGCAGTCTAGTTTTTAAGTATATAAATAAAAACAACAACATTGATAACACACCTGTTCCTTCTGTTTTCAAGTTGATTACTTCACTAGGACTACTCTGGCCTGCAGGATTGCTTGCTGTTATGTACAGTTGATATCGTGTACCGCATCTAAGAGAATCTACCACATAAGAACCGAAGTTTCCACTTATTTCTTGGGTTTTTAATTCACCATCTTGTGGTTTCCAGTGTATAGAATAACCTAACAAAAACAGAAATGTACATTAGCCCTTATTCAGTTCCATGTACATTAGCCCTTATTCAGTTTTATGTACATTAGCCCTAACTCAGTTCGATGTACAATAGCCCTTATTCAGTTTTATGTACAATAGCACTTACTCAGTTCTATGTACATTAGCCCTTACTGAGTTCTATGTACATTAGCCCTTACTCAGTTCTATGTACAATAGCCCTTACTGAGTTCTATGTACATTAGCCCTTACTCAGTTCCATGTACATTAGCCCTTACTCAGTTCCATGTACAATAGCCCTTACTCAGTTCTATGTACAATAGCCCTTACTCAGTTCCATGTACATTAGCCCTTACTCAGTTCCATGTACATTAGCCCTTATTCAGTTTTATGTACAATAGCCCTTACTCAGTTCCATGTACATTAGCCTTTATTCAGTTTTATGTACAATAGCCCTTACTCAGTTCCATGTACAATAGCCCTTACTCAGTTCTATGTACAATAGCCCTTACTCAGTTCCATGTACATTAGCCCTTACTCAGTTCTATGTACAATAGCCCTTACTCAGTTCCATGTACATTAGCCCTTATTCAGTTCCATGTACATTAGCCCTTATTCAGTTTTATGTACAATAGCCCTTACTTAGTTCCATTACATTAGCCCTTATTCAGTTTTATGTACAATAGCCCTTACTCAGTTCCATGTACAATAGCCCTTACTCAGTTCTATGTACATTAGATCTTATTCAGTTCTAGCATAAACATAACAAAGCCAAAGTGAAAACTATCAGTAGAAAGATATACTTGTAAATAATTTTAGTTCTGTCGATGTTCTTACTGGGATAGTGGTAAGTTTACGAACTTACAATGCTATGATCCGGTGTTTGATTTTCCACGGTGGACAAAGCAGATAGTCCAATGTGGCTTTATTTTAAAACTCACAATATACAATAGTTTTGTCTGTAGTCTTAGCATGATTGTGAAACAATGGAGAGTTAACTCACCTGTTACAATAGTTTTGTCTGCAGTCTTAGCATGATTGTGAAACAATGGAGAGTTATCTCACCTGTGCTAAGACTTCAGATAAAACTATTGTAATGATTGTGAAACAATGGAAAGTTAACTCACCTGTTACAATAGTTTTGTCTGAAGTCTTAGCATGATTGTGAAACAATGGAGAGTTAACTCACCTATTACAATAGTTTTGTCTGAAGTCTTAGCATGATTGTGAAACAATAGAGAGTTAACTCACCTATTACAATAGTTTTGTCTGAACTCTTAGCATGATTGTGAAACAATAGAGAGTTAACTCACCTGTTACAATAGTTTTGTCTGAAGT